CAATGAGATCAACTTTTTGAATTAGAGCACGATACAAAAACGTTTTCCCGCTTCCACCGGGACCATCTAAATAAAAACATTTCTGCGAGTTTAAATCGACTAACGATTTTAAAATAGTATTCGCAGCTAAAAGTTGATCACTATTAAGATCATTCCATAATAAGTTATTGCCATCAACAGTGCAGTTAACTAAATTATCTTCGCGATCTGAAATATCTTCGAAATTAGAAAATGGTAAAAATGGATTAAAATCGAAACCATTTTGTGGAATTTGCATTCTTATGCCATTAATGCATAATTTTAGAGATTTTTCTACACTATTTCCTTGTTGAATAAAATCTTCAATCATATTTTCTTCGAAATCTTCGAAAAGTTGCAAAGGATTTGGAGGGTTGCAATGACAAATAATTGCAACTAATAATGATCGTAAACATTTAGGCATCATATAACTTGATGCTTCGTACATACAATTATGCCACTCATTTGAATCATTAATCAAACCTCTAACTCTTTCTACATGTTTGTATGTCGAATAATTTTGTCCATTGAACTTTTTAAGATCTTCAAAAGATGTAGCATCCGGACCTTTCACCGAGAGCAAAATCAAACGAAGATGATACAATTCTACATCTCTAGGAGATACAGAAATAATTCTACCGATTGTTTTCTCTCCGTGATGAGAAATCTCTGAACGTTTTACCCATTTTTTATTTTTAAATACGTAATGATTAGGAATATCTTGGTATAAATATTGATGCGCACTCGAATCTGAAACATTTAAATCGAAATAAGCAGTTAAAGTCGTGCACACGACCGACTCTCGTTGCAAAGCATTTTCAGCTTGATTCTCTTCGAAAAAGATGGATTGGCCATCTTTCAAATGAATAGACAACATGACGACATTATGAGATTGACCATGAATAGGAAAATCTTGAAGATGCCAAGCTGCTTCTTGAGAACTAATATAACGACAATTTAAATATTGTTTCATTTCGTCATAATCAACAACTTTTTCTACATTATCGTTTGCATTTACTTGGACACCGATTCGAGCACAGTCGTAACCCTTTGTAATATATTTGTTAATGTATTTGATAGCTTTAACAGTTGAACATAGTTCAACATTAATATGAGCATTATATTTAAGACTTAAAAATGAATTGGATGGTACAACAAAACGATTAGCTACTTGAATATTATTACGTGTAAAGTGAGTTTCGTTAGAATTATTTCGGCGTCTATATATTGGATAACCATCTGTAGATATATCAGTTTCATTGCAGAAGGCTTTAGGAAAATCTTTGGAGCCAGATCCCTCAACCATACAGATTGATTTAGGATTTAATCGACCACATGGTCCATGAATACTTTGTGTTATAATTATGTTATACAACTCGGATTGTACATTTCAATCCGGTAACTCAGCAGAGATAATATTATCAACGTCGTCTGCTCTTTTAATTTTATCTTCATTCGAGAGTGTAAATAGACAATGAGCATGGGAAAGACCCCGTTTTTGATGCTCTATAACGTATACATATGCCAAAATTTCTCCAAAAATTTTTCTTTTAACTATGTCATCTAAAAATTCTTTTAATTTTAAACGAAATACCCGAGTTACTAAATCTGGTCTATCAGATGAATTTTGAAAAGCTTTAAGTTCGGATTTTATTTCTTCCCATTTAGGATTACATGTAAAAGTAATAAATAAATCAGGACGGCCAAATTTCCGAACCATTGCCATATTGTCCTGATATAATTTGGACATAAAGCGGGGACCACCTACAAATGTTGAAGGAAGGATAAAAATATTACCAACACGGGCCTTATTATCTCGACTAATGCTATTGATATGATCTAATAAACCTTTATATGATTCTACACGTAAAGTCTTTTGATTATTTCTGATATACGTCATCCGATTTGCTTCATAACGGGCATACGCATAAACTAAATACTGTTGAAATAATTTTCCGCCATAAAATAAAGGATTAAAATGGTTACGTCGAATAGCAATTTTGTTTGAATAAAACTCAGGTACTGTTACTTTATTTCGTATCTTAGTAGCATGATTCATGTTATGCAACAAATCTGTAGTCCACCCAAAATCACCATTTGGGAAAAAAGTGGAAAAATCATAGGATCGAGATTCTTCGAGAGCATATTAATCCTTTTCAGAGTATTTGAATTACTTGGCTGAACTGCAAAATCAAGTTCAGCCGGAATATTACCATCACGGTCAGCTACATATACAATAGCAATGTCATCTGAAGTTCGAGGTGCATTATAGATCCTTTGGTCATCATGAAGATTTCGAGTGAAAATCAAAGATATCTTTTTCATAGAAGAACCGGTAATTCTCGCATTAGATAGTTCTTTATCATAAATTTCTCGAAATTTACGGAAGCAACTGGCATAAGGAGATACATCATTTAAAACTGCATTTATGGTAATCATATTATCACGAATACATTGAGCATTTGCGGACTCTGTCATTCGAATCACAATAGAAGTGTCCGCATCGTAAACATATAATTCAGCATAAGATGGCTGATGAATAAGTTTTTGAACAGAATTTGGCTGTAAAGTAGTATCGATTTGGATATTTTCTGAAGTACGATGGTATACGTCACCCGATATTTTAAAACAATATGGACCGTTTTCCGGAATGTCCTCAATCTTAGCGCCCATCGATGCGAAAGCGTTCGCATTATTATATTGTCGAATAAATTCTCGAAAGTTTTTACATTTTGCATCAGTTCCTATGAAAAGGTTTTCTAATGCAATAGGAAAATTTTCAGGTCCATTCTGAACAGAAAGATAAGATAGTTTGCCATTGTGGCAGCACATACTTTTCAATGCATCTTTAAAATGAACCGCTTCACAAATGATGATACATATTTATGGCGTATTGATAAAATAGAAGAATTATCTGAAAATGCAACACAAGCTTCTGAACCACTTTGTATTAGTTCAGATTCATTTTATTTAACAAAATATGGGTAGGAAGTTGTTTTAAAATAATACATAAATGGTGATCGAACAGCCCAAAATACGCGTTTATCATTAGATATCATTATACTGTGTGGGATTTATGATTCATTATTAAAATTCTTATTTAATTATCCAATAACACTTTGTTTACATGATATAAGTGACAAAACCGATCATATTATACATACATTGCAAGCAGATGACAGTCTATATTATCAAAAGTTAAAGCTGAATGAAAATCAAAGCTTTTTATTATCAAAACTTAAGTGTATGCTTTTTTTTATTTCAAACTGAATTTTGAAATAAAATAGCGCTCGAATTTTTTCCGAAGCACAAGGATTTAGAGGGTCTAGCGAAATGCCTTTCTTTCTGAATATAATACAAGAAGATAGGGTCTTCCAGATAAATAAAATATATCACGCACTTCAGTAATTATCCCATGTCGCCCTTTTTAGGGGATTCCGGATCTTCGCCAATAAAACGTTTGCCAAATAGCACTTTCGCCAATGGCGAAACTCCACTAAACTTTCGCCAATAGACACACTGGAATATCGCCAATTGGCGAATGGCCAGTGTACTTTCGCCACCACACTTCATGGAGTTTCGCCGGTTGGCGAAAGTGTAGGAGATTTTCGTCAATTTAAGTGCTAATTAGACGTGAATTAGAAA